GACGGCTTTGTTTTTTACCCTTTAAACGCTTGTATCACGTCCGAGTTTGGAACAGAAAAATTGTTAAATAAAATATTGAGCTGTCTGGTGGAAAGATAAAACCATCAGTTTTGACGAAAGAGACTGGAGTGTCTGTGTCGGAAAGGAAATTAAACCCGGAACTAAACCTAGCTACATGGTGAAAGATTAAAAGAAAGGAACCAAAGTTCTCTTCCTGTAAAATAGGAGACAGTAGTAGATGGCAAGATAAACAAGAGAAACATGAAGGCGTGTTGCAGGAATGGTGTACTGGAGCTCATATACACTTTGCAGCCCAAGCAATTTTTAACTGCCAAGCAGATAAACAGTTTCAGAAAGAAGACAGAAGTTTTTAGACCAAGGGTACAATAATACAGATGGAAAACATACAGAGTGGTGATAGCTGTAGCGTTAACTGTTACTAGTAGTTACTAGTAGTTTAGTTTTTCTTCATGCTTGGAAGAGAAGGAGGAAAGATCACCCACAAACAGCAATTTTCTATTAGTGTTATGACTGCTGTTAAACCTTTTAATTCATAAAACAAAAAAAAGCCAACAACAAAACAAAAACTGAATTGCTACTGTATACCCGTGAAAATTCACAATTCATGTTCAGATTTCAACCCATTTCATGTATCCCAATGTTATTAATAGTGACAAATTACCGATTATATTAACTAAAGTAAGATTGTTGTTTGATATTCACCCCAAAAAATCATGTTATAAAATCATATCACAAAATTAATAAAATCATTATTATGGTTGATCATAGGAAAAGAGATAACCGTAATCACATTTCATGTTAAAAGTGCATGGAACCCTTTATGTAGATACGTGTATAAAGAAAAACTCTTTCACTTACTGTGAAACTCACAAAACTGTGAACACCAGAAATATTTATGAGGAGCAAGAAAACTAAAATGCAAACAGCAATTGCAATTAGTTTGTGGTTTTGTAGTTTGCTTGCGTGTCCTAAACTTTGCTGCGAATTGGCCAGTACACAATCAACATAATTTCCTGAAATTTTTCAGGTGTTCACGGTTTTTGGACTTTGACAGTAAAGTGTGGTGTATCATAGATTTTGTAAATATTTCTTTGTTAATATAATAAAATTATTTCCAAAAATGGTCTTTCACATTGACATACTGTCCTCCACCAAAATAATTTTTTTACGTAATGTTTGTTTTTGGCAAAAAGAAAAATACTGTTTACCTTGGAATATTGTGCCAGTAAAAAGTATGTAAAGATGGCATCAAAACTGGACCTTGCAAGTGCTATTTTTTTAGGCAAGGGAAAATCTGGAATATCTGCAGGACAAATTATATCCCATAGCAGGGAAGATGGCCTGCTACACAGATTTTTTTCCCCTGAGGATTGGCCCTTTGCAGCTCCATTATAATGTGACTTATCTCATGCCAAAATAAGGGATACAAAGCTAGAAATATCAGAGATGGAAGGGGCATAAATTATAATAGATAGAGGTTTTGCTAATTTTCTAGATTTTTACTCTTAACAGTGAGATTTTCCTGTGGGTTGAATAACCAAAAAAATATTACAATATGGAGTATGGAAAAATTCATAGACTGGAAACCCTTATAATTTTGCAGATAACCCAGGCCCAATTACCGGCCACTTTGCAGGAAGGTGAACCCATGAAGGATCAATAAACTGACCCAGGAGACAGACAGCAGCAGTCGAGCCTGCTGACAGATATCCTAGTGCCAAAGTAAATCCAAGTCTTATTGTTTACCATCTTACATGGCTGCGTGAGCTGTCAGGGGTGTATTGTACCAGGGGCCCATGCAGACCCAGAGCGAGTAATTCTCAGTTTATTTTTAGACACATTTTAGGGCACTTTTTCCTGCAAAAATAGAATCTCGACCATTATTTGAAGTATGAGATATCAAAAAGGAAAACTAAATGTTATTAAAAGGCAAAAAATATCATTTTACTGTAGGTCTGTAAGTTTTGCTGACTTGTTTGTGGAATTTCAGATATTCTACACTCGTGCCAAAACTGTTCTAAAAATAAACTGGTCCGGACACAAGCGTATGGAAGTTCCTCGCTCCTGATTATGGGCACCTGATTGTACAATAAAGGCCCTTTCAAGGTACTCCTGATACCATTAGGTAGGGATGTGCTGCTAGCTAGACCCTTAACTTCTCTCAACCAACTAATCAAAGATGGATTCCTCCCTTAAGGTAGCTGAACACAGTTTTGCAGGCAGTCAGTGATAAATCACGTGAGGGCGCATGTTTTAAATTAGACAAACAAACATGGTGGTGAAAAAGCAATGGCACACAGAAGACGATTTCCGAAAATCTACTCATTAACATTTTGTGATATTTTTATTTAAATAATGAGAACTTTAAAATGGGAGTTGAGCAGACGAACTTTGTGACACATCTAATAATTACAGTACAATATTATTATATTATTGATTATCTAAAAACCCGTCTGTTAAAATTTGGTCAAATAAGTTTCNAAAGTAAAATTTTAAGTTTGTTTTTAATCGTTCGTGTTGCCATGGAAACTAAGAAAACGTCAAATTTTACCTGTCAATCAAAATCTTCAATCAGTATATTTTTCACCTGCCAAGTTTCAGCTTGTGAGCTGCAACCTTTCTCTTGTCATTATTTGGCAAATGACATATACTCACAAACCGCCAAAACTGTGTTGAGCCACCTTAATCGAACAACTCTCCTAGCTGGACCCTGACTCAGTGCTGATCCGTAAGTTTTCCCCACCCTCTACCCCCACCGTATTCCGGTTGTTCAGTTTGTGAGCCAGCGGTATCAAGTTGCCAGCGGTATCGATACCGTCAAGATTCCAAAATGGCGGCTGCAGCGCCAATCGCGAATGGTTGTCCTGTAGAGTTCGAAGACTGGCTTAGCTCTCGCTTGAAACAGCTAGAACTGGATGAAGATGTGTTTGGAAGCTATGTGACTGGAGTTTTGGATTCTGAAGATACGGATGAAGAACGCAAAGATGCACTGATTGGTATTTTGGAAGGAATGACGGTAATGCATGTTTTCACACACGTGACAGTGATAAAACTGATTTAAAACTAGAAATTACTTAAGCTAAAATGCTTACAAAAAGCTGAGCTAACGAGAATTTTCTTGAAGAAATACAGTGTGGATTTGAACATTCGCATCCCCTAAATTTCATGAGCAGTAAATGAATATTATCTGTTATAATCAATATTGGATAACACTTGCGTCAAGTGGCATTCAGGTAGAACTAGGAAAAAAAATTTAAAAAAGGGAATAATAATAATAAGATAATATATAATAAACAATAACTGTTCAAGACAAAATCTTACGTAATTAAGACAAGAGACCTTTGCTTCTCAGCCTGATTCATTTAATTTCTCGTGATAGAAATTAAAAATAGGAATTCATTTTAAAAGAAAACTGAAATCATAGAATAAGACAGCACACAACTAATGTTCACTCCCTGTTCAAGGCTTCTGTCCTGAGGGTTGTCCAATACACGCAAACTTAGTTAGGATGTCTAACATTGAAGTTGGTCCATCTACCAGGGGCCGGTTGCTCGAAGCCTGGTTAGCGCTAACCCTTGGTTAAGAGGTATCAAAATGTATAGGTTTCCAAGGTATTTAACGCTGGTTAGCACTAACCATGCTTCGAGCAACCCGGGCCAGAAGTCAGGACTTGATACGTCAAAGGATGGGAACTCAATCACCAGAAGTGGTGATTATCAGGGCCCACGGAGCGGATTTTCAAGTCGGGGGGCTAATGCGAACGTGTAAGCATGAGCAAACTGGAGGGGTCTGGGGGCATGCTCCCTCGGGAAAATTTCAAATTTAAGTCTTCTAAAATGATTGCTATAAATGCATCTAAAACTGCCAATAGTAATATAAATTTGTAATTATTACATCAGCACTTAAAACAACAAGTTACAACCTGGCCCCCACATTAGACCAAAACTTAAATGAATAGACTTTGAAGCTAAACCCAACACACGCAACGGTTGAGTGTCACCCGGACATTTTTAAGTCGGATACTCTGGAGGTGCCAAAGTTGCCTTTCCGATTGTCATTGAGAGCTAAAATCTCATTGGCAACAGCTTCAAGACAAAGTTTGTCTGTTCTCTGTTTGTGGGTGTTCAGTATTGTCAGATTACTAAACCTTGTTTGTGTGATAAGTGACAGATCTGGGTAACCAAAGTAAAAACAATTAAATTATTTTACCATCTGAAAAAAAGTGTGGGGGGGGGGACTAAAGCCCCCCAGCCCCACCCCGTGATTATGACTGCCTAAGATATACTGTGTCGGTGTCACAAGATGGTGACAGAAGCCTATGACAGTGACAGATCATGATGATCTATTCGGGTGGTGACAACCTTACTATAAGGTTGTGGGGTCACGATAGGAAAATATCACTGCACATGGTTAGTGAGAAGGATCGCTAAATGTTGATGAATCATCACGACCTTTTTGGTCGGAAATCACCTGTTAAAGTACAAAGTTGCATACTGATGAGGCCAAATAAGGGACCCCCCTCCCCCCTCTCCCACATGACAATCAGGTCAACAAATACTTGAGTTGGCATGACAAATTTCACTGATAACCTCTGCACTGGTCATCTTAACTTCAGAATCATAAAATGAAACAATCTAAGACTCGCTAAGATGCCAATTAGACTCTTGTTTAAAAATCCAAGTCTTTTTGGCAAAAAATTTCCAAGCTTCAAGACTCATTACAAATTATGCTTCTGAGATTTCAAGATCAGATCAGAATTTTGTGAGACCAAGGTCCGGACATATTCAAATGACTTTTAAATAAGACGAGGTGATTTTATGAGTTAACATTTTTATTTGTTTGCCCGTAGCAATTATTGTACCAAGTAAAAAAAATACTGTTTCCACTGGTCATTTTTTTTTCTTTTCTCGCTACAGGAATATCCTTTGGATGACCTATGCAATGAAGTTATTGACAGATGGAAAAATTCAAGAGCAGAG